TTTTTTTTGGTATGTGAGCCACCACCACAGCATGACCACTAACAGACAAGTGGTGTAGGTCCACACCTGGGAACTGAACGCAGGCTGCCAAAGTGGAGCATGCCAAACTGACCAGAGCTGGCCCAAGAGTTCAGCTTTTTTTTTTTTGGTGAGGAAGATTGGCCCTGAGCCAACATCTGTGCCCATCTTCCTCTACTTTATATGTGGGATGCCTACCACAGCATGGTGTGCCAAAGCAGTGTCATGTTCGCACCTGGGATCCAAACCAGCTAACCCTGGGCTGCTGAGAAGTGGAACGTGCGAACTTAACCACTACGCCACCAGGCTGACCGCCCCCCTCCCCATCTCCTTTTTTAAATGGGTGTTAAAACAGTGGGGCATAAGGGAGGCAGGAGAATATCCCTGGCAAAGAGAATATCAAGAGTCATGGTAGGGGCTGGCCTGGTGTGCAGCAGTTAAGTTCCCAGGTTCTGCTTCTCGGCAGCCCGGAGTTCGCTGGTCCAGATATGGCACCGCTTGGCAAAAGCCATGCTGTGGTAGGTGTCCCATGTATAAAGTAGAGGAAGATGGGCATGGATGTTAGCTCAGGGTCAGTCTTCCTCAGCAAAAAAGAGGAGGATTGGCAGCAGCTAGCTCAGGGCTAATCCTCCTCAAGAGAAAAAAAAAGAGTCATGGCATGGAGGAGAGAGAGTATTAAGGGTATTGGTGGTTGGGCAGAATCTGAGAGCATTAGTCAGTGGGTTGTGAGAGATCAGAAGCAAAGGGTGAGGGCAGTAAGGTAGAGTAGGGTAGTTGGGGACCCAGATGCCAAGATGGGCAGCTTTACTGTATTATCAGGGGCTGGAGCTCCTCCACCAAGGCTTTGTTATTCTCACAGTCTCAGGTTTTATTTTAGTAATACATGCGATCTTTAACATCTTAAAGATCAGTCAACAATTTGATATAATAAGTGCCCCTGGGCAAACAGTATACTAACTGATTAATGATCAAAAGCCTAGCTGTTATTAGGGACCAACCTGGTGGTGCAGTGGTTAAGTTCACACATTCCGATTCAGCAGCCCAGGGTTTGCCAGTTGGGATCCCAGGTGTGGACCTATGTACTGCTTGTCAAGCCATGCTGTGGCAGGTGTCCCACATATAAAGTAGAGGAAGATGGGCAGGGATGTTAGCTCAGGGCTAGTCTTCCTCAGCAAAAAGAGGAGGATTGGTGGCAGATGTTAGCTCAGGGCTAATCTTCCTCAAAGAAGAAAAAAAAGCCCAGCTCTTATTATGGAAGACTCCACCAGATGGGCCCCTCGTATCTTTGCCATTCAGAAGCTGCTTGAAAGAAACAGAAAACAAACCAACTCACTGTCACGTTTGCCCCTATGGCCTGAGTCACAGGGAAATGCGGAAGGGAGAGAACCAGGTTTCCTATCTGTGGCTTCACTGTGCCCCAGCCCAGACCCAAGTGAGGACTGAAGTCCCTGGGAGTTTGGATCCAGGTCAGCACTGGTAAATACCACCAGGCCTGGGTCCTGGTTCAGAATCAAAGCCCGTCTGTTTCCCTCAAGTGTCTTTCAAATTTTCGAGGCCCGCTGAACCTGGGGAACGACCTGTAGAACAGTACTGTCCAACAGAAGTATAATATAAGCCCCGTCTCTAATTTTAAATTATCACATTAAAAAAGTAAAAGGAAACAGGTGAAATTAACTTTAAACATATTTTATTTAAAAAAACATATTTTATTTAAACCAATATATCCAAAATATTATGTTTAACATGTAATCAATATAAAATTACTTTTGTACTAAATCTTCATAATCCAGTGCATATTTTACACTTATGCACATCTCAACTCAGACTAGCCACATTTTAAGTGCCCAGTAGCTACATCTGGCTGATGGCTACTGTCTTAGACAGCACAGGGCTAGAGTAACTTGACTTGCCTCCTCCTTCCCATCAGGTGCAGGGATTTGAGAGGTGGACCAGGAAAGTTCAAGGGCCTTGTTGTCATGCTGATGTTGAGCTCACTGAGAAAAAGAAAGATGCTCTTCCTCTGAACCATCCTGATCTATTGCAATCTCCCTTTTCCTTCACCTCCTGAAATCAAGGACTAACGCTCTCAGAGAATTTCGTCTATATTTTATTAGAGCACCTATTTAACTTTGCCCTACAGTCAGATGTTTATGTTTCACACTCCCAAGCTAAATTACTAATGCCTTAACGGCATTTGTCTTACTCCCTGTCATCTCTCTTTGTTGTAGGTTTAGCTCTTAGTCATCAATAAATGTTTGTTGAATAAATGAATGAGACAACTCTTACAGGATTGATGAACATGTATTATGGAAGCTTTTGTTTCATCGGGCACCACCATACAACCCATTTCCTGATAAAGGGTGAAGCCAGTGAGGTCACTGTCAGTCTCAGCCTGGAAAATACTTGCCTTTATCCTCTGGGGGTCTTATACTCATGATTTCAATTCAACAAATGCCTCCTGAACAACTCCCATGTTCCAGGCACTGTGCTGGGTGCTGTGTCTGCTGCAAAGATGAGCATGAAATATCCTTGCCCTCAAGTCCCTACCTATCTAATAGGGGGCTTTTGATACGCATACACAAATAATTATAATTTTAGGTCGAGTAACCTAAGTGCTATAAGTGGAATAAAGAGTCCTGTGGAGAGGAGGGCAAGAACAGGGACTTGCAAAAGAGGCTTCATGCAGACTTGTTCTTTAGGTTGATGCTTGAAGGTAGGACAGGATTTGGATAGGTGGGAATGGAAGGAGGGAAAGAAACAGCTTTTAAAAATCTGACAAATTAGGAAGAAACACAATACAGAAGAGGTGTGGTGAAAAGACTAATTAGGACAACGAAATGAAATGGACTCCAAAGAGAAGAGCAGGGTGGAAAAAATCACAACAGGGTGTCAGAGGAACAAACCCCATTAGAGGGGTGAGGGCAAGGTGAGACCAAAGAAAGAGGCAGACCATTCCAGATTGGTAGATGGCAGGTTTAACAAGCAAAGGAACTTATATATGAGGCTTGTGTTAGGTAGCTGCAAGACAAGATCTCCACACCCACCCACGAGAATCTTAAAAGTTTATGTAGAGGCCTTAAGTGGATTCAGTCACATATACCATCCAGATGGTCTCAACAACACATTCTCTCAAGGCTGAGTCCTTGAAGACGGCTCCCACTGTGGGAACAGCAGGCAGCATGCACATTCCAAGGACAGGAATGGGGATAAGGAGGCTCTGATTGTCCAGGTCTTGCTCACAGGTCAACTAGTAATCACATCCTCTCAATGACCTCCTCCTACAATAGACATTCCTCCAGGGAAGATATAAAAAACAGCCAATAAAGCATGTGAAAAAACGTTCAACATCAGTAGTCATTAGGGAAACGCAAATCAAAACCACAATGAGATGCCTCTTCACACTCACTAGGATGGCTATATTCAAAAAGACAGATAATAACAAGTGTTGGTGAGAATGTGGAGAAATTAGAACCCTTATACATTACTGGTGGATATGTAAAAATGATGGAGCTACTTTGGAAAACAGTTTGGCTGTTCCTCAAAGTGTTAAACATAGTTACCATGTGACCCAGTAATTCCAGTCTTAGATATATACCCAGGAGAAACAAAAATATACATCCACATGAAACTTGTTCACAAAATGATCACAGCAGCATTATTCATAATAGCCAAAAAGTGGAAACAACCCAAGTGTCCATCAATTGATGAATAGACAAATAAAATGTGGTATGTCTGTACAATGGAATACTACTTGGCAATAAAAAGGAATGAAGTCAGGACTGGCCCTGTAGCATAGTGGTTAAGTTTGGCATGCTCCACTTCGGCAGCCTGGGTTTGTGGGGTTGGATCCTGGGCACAGACCTACACCATGCTGTGTCAGCCATGGTGTGGTGGTGACCCACATACAAAATAGAGGAAGATTGGCACAGACGTGAATCTTCCTTAGCAAAAAAAAAAGGGGGGGGGGCAGCCCCATGGCTAAGTGAATAAAGCTCCATATGCTTCACTTCAGCAGCCTAGGTTCATGGGTCCATATCCCAGGCATGGACCTGCCCCACTCATCAGCCATGCTGTGGAGGCATCCCACATACAAAAAATAGAGGAAGACTGGCACAGGTGTTGGCTCAGGGCTTATCTTCCTCGAGTTAAAAAAAAAAAAGAAAAGAAGATTGGCAATGGCTGTTAGCTCAGGGAAAATCTTCCTCACACATACACAAAAAAACCCCCAAGATAACTAGTATTTCAAACAGCACAATAAAATTTCTTAAAAAAATTTATTTAAAAAAACGGAATCAAGTACTGATACATGATATAAAATGGATAAACTCTAAATACATTATGCAGAGTGAAAGAAGCTTGTCAGAAAAGACCATGTGTTATATGATTTCATTCATATAAAATATCCAGAACGGGCAAATTTATAGAGACAGAAAGTAGATTAGCGTTTGCCTAGGGCTAAGGGTGTAGGGGAGGGGCATGGGCAGTCACTGCTAATGGGCAAGGGATTTCTTTTGGGGATGATGAAAATGTTCTAAATCAGATTGAAGTGACAGTTGCACAACTCTGTCACTATACTAAAAACCATTGAGGGGCCAGCCTGGTAGCACAGCAGTTAAGTTTGCATGTTCTGCTTCGGTGGCAGCCACTAGTTTGAATCCCGGGTGCGGACATGGCACTGCTTGGCAAGCCATGCTGTGGCAGGCGTCCCACATATAAAATAGAGGAAGATGGGCATGGATGTTAGCTCAGGGCCAGCCTTCCTCAGCAAAAAGAGGAGGATTGGCAGCAGATGTTACCTCGGGGCTAATCTTCCTAAAAAAAAAAAAAAAAAACAGAAAAGAAAAAAGAAAAGAAAAGAAAAACCATTGACTTGTACCCATTAAATGAATCAATTGTATGGTATGTGATTATACTTTAATAAAGCCATTAAAAAGAAAAAAAGGCTATTCTATTAAATTGATGCAATATGATTTAAGGTGTCATTCTTTTTATTTATTAAACTGAGTTTATTTGCAGTTTTTCACACTTCTAAGTAATAGTGTAACCAAACACTCCATTTGAAAGAACTTTTTACTAAAACTGCTATAAATCTAATAGACATGTGATGTCCCTAAGGTCACCTATATAAATTCAAGACCACAGATCTGTCAATACTTTACAGATGTAAAGGACTAATATCTTCCACACAATTCTCACCCATAGAACAAGGTCAGTAGCCTGTTCTTAAGCCTCACTTATGATTAGTTTGGCAGTAAGAGACCCAAAATACAGTGCCTTAAACAAAACAGAAGTTTATTTCTCTGTCCACATAAAAGTCTAGAGGCAGGCAAGCCAGGGCTAGGATGGCAGATATCTCCACAATGCCCTCTTTCAGTCAACCTAAGGGTACAGCTCCTTTCAGTCTCCTGCTTTGTCAACCTAAGGGTACAGCTCTTGCTCTTATGGTTCAAATGGTAGCTATCACATCCCCATTCCAAGCAACAGGAGGAAAGAAATAGAAAGAAAGGGAGTGGAAAGAAAAGGGGACAAAGGGTATATGTCAGATGTCTTTAAGAAAAGTTCCTAGATGCCGTTTCTGCTGTGCATCCATTGAACAAAACGTTGTGACACAGCCATATTTAATTTCAACTGAGACTAAGAAAATAGTCTTTATTCTAGGTAGCATGTGCCCAGATAGAAATTTGGGGTTCTATCATCATGGGAGAAAGGGAAACAGACATTCAGAAATAACTAGCAGACTCTTCTGATGACTCAAAACTTATCTAATGACATAAAACCCTACCAAAAGCTAGAAAGAAAAATAATCTGGTCACAAAGGATGAAAGAAATAACATGAACTAAGAACTAAACACTAAATTAAACATTATGAGGAATGATTATGCCTAATAGCAAAAAGCACCAGAGGAGACCTTTTTGCAAAAGGGTAGAGAAATAACCAAAAGTTCTTAAGTGGAGAGAACGTTTTTTATAAGATGAGGGCCAGAGGCAATTTCCGTCAGTTACACTAAAGCAAATAAAAAGAAACAGCTTAAATGAGCAATAAGTAAAATCATACTGCTTTTCACTTCCCATCAAGACAAAAGCCTTTTAACAAAACAGTTATCTTTGCCTATTTTATTTGTTCATATGCTTCCAATTCCTGAAAGGCTTATGTTATCAACTGATTTTATTGCTTCTGGAAATATTTCAAGGATAAATATTACATCTGGCCTTTTTATATATACCTAAAGATATAATCCCTTTTGTTTGAGAATCGTTTTTGTTTTGATGTATTTTTTATTTACTGTGTTAACACATGCATACTCTATATATCAGAAAAATACTTGAACACTCCCAAGAAATCTCAATGTACACAACTTGGTGTACATTTACTTAGTCCTTTTAACGATTAATTTAAGATCCACAGACAGGCTTGATTGCTATATAAGAGGCATAATAACTGAATGTAACTAAGATAAAGTGTTCAGGAGAGATAATATTTAATACATTTCAGGAAAAGATCATTAACATTTAGGGTTTTTTTTTTTTAATTTACAAGTTCAGGATAGTTTAAGCACAAATACAAATATAAATATAAATAAGGAAAAGTTAAAAGTTACCGTATGGGAAAAACAGAACTTTCAAATGCTGATGCTGAGATTATTGTTAAAAATTTTGTATTACGAAATTTGAGCCATGGGAGAAAGGCCAAGGCCCACATACACCCAAATGATCCAAACACTAAAAACAGTGCATTTTCTTTAGATAATTCTACAGCTGGCATGCACTTCTAAGGAGAAAGTACAGTTTTAACAAGACGTTATCTTCACAAGTAATATATAATTTACAAATCTCCAAAATGCAATAAACGTACCAGATTCTATATAGCATGACCATATGAATAAAGATAAGAGGTTACCTTCTTGAAATCACTACATCTCAATACTATTTCAACTTATTTAAAAGACAAGACAAGCAGGTTGGCTTGTTTCTGGGTCTCCCCTGCAGATCTGCTGTCCATTATATCTGACACAGGCTACAGCATATGCCATGTGGGAGAGTGGGGAAGCAGTGGCCTGGAAAATCAAGAAGTTGTGTTCCAGCCATGGTTCAGCCCCGAATTAGTCATCCTAGGCAAGATACCCTCTCAAGGCCTTCATTTCCTCATTAGAAACAATCAACGGCTTGGACTAGTTTTCTAAGGTTCTTCCCAGCACTGAGATTCTAAGGTGCCTTGCGAGTTCATTTCAGATGATATAACACTTGTTTATAATCACTTCTGATATATTTATTATCAGAAACTGTCCACATATGAAGTCAGAATTATTAAACTGTGTTACTCCATATTTTTCAAGCCAGAAACAGTACTTCAGAACTCAACTATAGCACTCTAACTTTTTAAAATCAAAATAAGATGACCAGAATCATAAAACTTAGCATTCACAGCATTGACCCTAGAAAAAAATATATAATAGAATGTCAAAGCAAAAAGAACATCTGACAGAGAGAGAAAGAGAGAGATTTCTTATGAAGTATATTTCAATGACAATTACTCCATAACAACGGTGCATTCAGAATTTGTGGACATAATGTTACAAGCTGGGGAAAAAGTCCAGCTCAAATGTCAAAAGACAAAGCCAAAATGATTCTGAATTTCCTAAAGACACATTTTGAGAAAGAAAGAAGACTTCTTCCCCATTTCCCCATCCCCCTGTCCCAAAGAGGAGAATTTAAAATTATGCACACCTTTGGTAATATTTTGTAACCTATGGTAATAGAAAATAAATGCCCAGATATAAGGACAATTTAACTTAACATTTTCTCTTCAACTTGTTTTTTATAGCAGACATGTTAATTTCATTTTGAACATGGTATGCCAAATATCCTGAGCTTCCAGGAATGAAGTCATGTAGCTCCCCAAGGAATTTCTTCATGGCATCAATTGATATATAACCTACAAAATAAAAAATATATATATTTGAAATCCTATAGTACTATCTACTTTGCAGTGTCTTTGATTTATTAGAATTAAAATTTCTAAAGAATGTTTTTAGAAAAGAAGTAAAAATAAGAACTAATACCAGTGAGAAGATTCTCTCTGAAACTTGATAATCATCAGAGAACACCCTCCTTCCCCCTCTTCGCTCCCCCCAGCCTTCTACCTCCTTTGAAAACACAGATACTTGATTGGCCACTTTGACTACTGAGAGTGTGATGTCTAAGTTAGGGATGGAACATAACAGTACCTGGACCAAAATAACTGGTAAGTGTGCCTGACTTAGAGTGTGATCACTTAGAACTATTATTTGTCCAGCTAAGCTACTAACAGCACCAACACCTCATCTTCCCTAGTAGAGTAGGCAACACTTTCCCGCACTGCTAACACTGGGATAACATTCTTTAATTAAAAATTAATGGGAAAGTCAATATTGCTGCTTAGTCAGCAAAGGTTATGGGTGTGAGAAATTTTGATTTCACTAATAATCTGAAACAGATATGAGTATCAGAAAGAACACCTAGAATGAGGAGAGCTCAAGGACCCAATGACTTTAAGCAATATTACCTTGATAGCAATTGCTTATCTGAGTGATTATATTTTATGTGTAATGTGCTTGTGGTTTATACTAAAATTGAAACCTAATTTGAAAGTAAATATTATATGAAAAAAATTCTGGTAGAACTCAAGGCTGATTGAATTTAGAACCACCATCAAAAGGACATCTATGGATATAGTTTGATTGTTTCTAATAATAGATAATAAATCGACAGTTAATAAATTAACTGAATCTAATTATATAAAATTGATTAGTATCTTTAAAGATATTTTAATTATAGTCATTTACTTCAGAAAAATCTCTTGAAGCACTATTACTATACTCCATATGGTTCATGATCTTTGCCTAAAGGCTAGGTTTCTGTGTAAAATAAACTAGTGCAGAAAAATATTAATCTTTCGTTAATTGTACATATACACTATGTGAAGTTTCTAAAGATATGTGTGAGGGTAATAATTTTAAAAATAATTACTACAGGGGCTGGCCCTGTGGCCAAGTGGTTAAGTTCGTGTGCTCTGCTGCAGGCAGCCCAGTGTTTCGTTGGTTCGAATCCTGGGCACGGACATGGCACTGCTCATCAAGCAACGCTGAGGCAGTGTCCCACATGCCACAACTAGAAGGACCCACAACGAAGAATATACAACTATGTACTGGGGGGCTTTGGGGAGAAAAAGAAAAAAATAAAATCTTTAAAAAAAAAATAATAATTACTACATTAATAAAAATATTCCTGTAAGTATAAGAAGGATAGGACATTTATGCATCAGAAATGGATTATTGTGGCAGTTTGAAGTAGTTAGGACTGCAGGCTGAAGTTGACAGACTCCCAATTTAAACCTGCTTAAACAAAAGGGGAGTTTACTGGAAGGACAGTGCCGTATCAACCAAGAGGTGAGGAAGGCAGACATATTGCTGGGCCTCAGAAGTAACTAGAACCCGTTCTCATGGCCATCTCCCTGTTCTCCAGTTTTTCTCTGCACGTTAGTTTCATTTTCCTCTCTTGAGGCAAGTTGGCTTTCTTTAGGGTTAGAAAACATGGCCACTGATAACTCCTAAGTTTCATGTTTTAGGGCTATGGTCCCCTGGATAAGAATGATTTAACTTGCTGCATTCCATGTCTAAAAATCCACAGAAAGAGCTGTGAGTGGCCCAGCTCAAATCAGGTGTTCACTCCCAAAGCAACTGTTGGGGATGAGGAGCAAGCTCATGTTTCAGAAAATGATTGTTCCCATGTAATCCAGATGAACTAGGAGGAAGAAAAGAGAGTTCCTAGGAAGGGCATTCTTGGGGGAACAATTCCGTATATGTCTGTACTAGCCAGTCTCCCAGATAGCCCTGAGTGATCCCTATCTCCCGGTATTCACAAATTGGTGCAGTCTCCTCCCACTTTGTACTTGTGTTGGTCTAGCTGACCAATAGCACATAGCAGAAGCCATAGTATGGTCACTTCTGAGAGTAGATATAAAAAAGACAGTGGCTTCTGTCTTGGGCACACTCTTTTTCTCTCTTGCATTTCTCACTCTGACGAAAACAAGCTACCATGTTGTGAACAGGCCTCATGGAGAGGCCCAATTGGTGAGAACTTGAAGCCTTTGGCCAAAACCCAGCAAAGACCCAAGGCCTGTCAACAACCACATGAATGAGTTTTGAAATGGATTTTCCAGTCCCAGTTGTGCCTTGAAATAACTGCAGCCTTGCTGACAACCTGAATGCAACCTATGAAGAATGCTGAGACAGAAGTATCCAATTAACATGCTCCTGGATTCCTGGCCCTCAAAAACTACGAAATAGTAAACGTTCATTGTTTTAACCTGCTAAGTTTTGGAGAAATTTGTTACACAGCAATAGATAACTAATACAGTATCTATCATAGGTTCCCAAACTTTTAATTACCAGAACTTTTTGGTTTGAAATTTTTGACTGCAAGATATTTATAATCAGTAGTAATTTTTTTCTTTTATTAATCACACATGTACCTGTCAATCAGAACTTCTTATCATGGGTGATTACTAGTAACATCAGACTGAGAGCAGTTAATTCCAGCCAAAAGCGAAAAACAGATAAAAAAAAAATCCTTTGATATTTTATGGGACATCTGGCAATACCTGGAAATATTTTTGGTTGTCACAAAGTGGGAGGGCTAAATGGGATGCTACTGGCATCTAGTGGGCAGAGGCCAGAGTCACCCTCTCCAACAAAGAATTATCTGGCCTAAAATGCCAATAATTCCAGGACCGAGGAACCCTGTTCTAGGGTATAGCTCCAACTTGTATTTTCTACAACAAACCAACCAATCAGTTTTATTTTAAGAGATTTAACATTCATTGAGTTGAACCCAGCCCATTTTGAGGAAGAGTCAAGTTGTAGTCACAAAAATTGATACCACTGCCTAAATTACAACTGTCATGACTACATTTTTGATTAACACAAGCTGATTTTCCCAGCAAGAAGTTACTCCTTCCCGTACAAGCAGATGGGTATGATAAAAAAACGAGGGGCCGGCCCAGTGGCTCAGCGGTTAAGTGTGCACCTTCTGCTTCGGTGGCCAGGAGTTTGCTGGTTTGGATCCCGGGTGCAGACATGGCACTGCTTGGCAAGCCATACTGCGGTAGGTGTCCCACATATAAAATAGAGGAAGATGGGCACGGATGTTAGCTCAGGGCCAGTCTTCCTCGGTAAACAAAGAGGAGGATTGGCAGATGTTAGCTTAGGGCTAGTCTTCCTCAAAAAAAAAATTAAATTAAAATTAAAAAACAAAGTACTTGTCACTTCACATCAAAATTAAAGACAAATGAATTATCTCTAAAAAATGAAGCTTTCTTCCAAGAAAGTGCTATTTAAAAATTTAATGTAGAAAGATAAAGAAAATATTCAGTTAAGCAAATAAAGAAATCAGAAAATTTTACTTTAGTTCTACCAATAAAATCAACAAAAGATTACCATAGGTTAAAATTATACTTTAAAAATTCCGACTAATTATTTTTACAGTTCTTTTTAGTTTGTTTATATAACACTGTCATTTTTTTTAACAGTCAGACAGCAATGAAACATAGAGCAGCATTGTTACATGTCCAAATCTAAGCATTTGTCTTTATTGTATGGCTGATTTTAATATTTATCATTGATCTTTTCAATATGTTATCAAAAACTTGGTAAGTCCAAATGAAAATGAGACATTTAGTACCTGATGGAGTTGCCTGAGCAAAATCAATACCAGTGATATACCATAACCATGGTTTAAGGTACCTACATTTTATCTGAATGTTTAGGCTTTGGGGTAAATCTGGGCAGCAGCCAGCTGCTTCCAATCTTAGAATTTAAGTATTTCTATTTAGTTCATTGTCTTTTGCAGTCCACAATTGCTCCTAAGATTCCCAGAATTGACTTTTCTATTATGATAGCTGGGTAGCAGTTTTCTTTGATGTCTTCAAGACTCAGCTCCAAACTACACATTGGAAGTTCTTTTTAAAAAAGTACTTTTCTAAAGACTATTTTATATTGCTCAAATGAACATAAGAAAAAAATAGTAAAACAAATGGAGAGACAGAATGGTTAGAAGCGATAGTAACATGAGAGAAGACATCTGGGAATTTGTGGACTAGTTGTAAGAGGTAGTTTTGACACTGCTAAGTAAAGAGAAAATGATAAATATACAAATTATTTTTTAAATGCAATTTCAAAAACCTATGCTTCTTAAATTGCTGTGTTTTAAAAACTATTTTTTAAAAACCTCTATTTTTAAAATTATCTGTGACCTTATGAATATTACCCAGATCAAAGTATCCAAATATCCACCTCGCTCAGCACTATCCAAATCCCAGGGGCCACTTTTCAGCTGGTTCCCTTTGTTCCACCCTCTCAATGTCAGCCTCAGTTAGCTGTCTTCTCTTTATGTTGGGCACTAGGAACCCCAAGTATGGAAACCATGGACACTTGGGTGATCCATGAATGGGCTTCTGGGCATATGTGAGCCTCTTTAAATTATATGTAAAATTCATATGTTATGTGTGTATGTGTGTATGCTTAGGGAAAGGGGCCTATGAACATAGGATTCAACAAATAAGCATCAGATGCTCAAAGGGAACCATGATTAGAGTTACCCACATAATTTATCTTCCAAATTGGGCCACCTGAGAGTAAAAACTGAAGCCAGGACAACAGGCATAAACTGGGATTGTCTTGTATAAACAGGGACCCTACCTATAGACCAACGTTTTAACACAGAAAATATGGGGCCTATCTTTGGGTCAATTCTGCAGACTAATTTATTTAATGTGAGATGTCTCCTCTATTAGCACATATAATAGACGGGGCTCTACTTGCTAGGCTAGTACAACAGCTTTATTGCACAAAATATTCCCTTTTTTCTTCCCTACTTGGGTTTACTTTAAATTTTATTTTAAATTACCTGTTACCATGTTGTTCACTGGATAATTCTGAAGAGGGAAGTACATCTGCTTTTCTACAACTGGAGTCCTTATAAAACGTTTTTCTGTGCTGTAAGATGAAACACACAGAAAGTCATATTTCTATTTGTTTTTTTGGAGTTGTTTTACAAATGAGAAATTATTCTAGGCAATATATATAGTAATCTAATTGCTCTTTGATCAGACTTTAGTCTGATTGGGTGAAAATGTTAAGAGTGAACATCTTTCATGCTTATAAGTACTACAAGGGTCTGTATAGATATTTTTGCTTTTCTTGGCCACTTCACAAAATAAATATCTAGTGAGTATATAGAGGCCTGGGTCTTTTCCCCAAGATTCTTGAAAGCATAATAATTCAATAATACTTTATAATTAGATAAAATACATATATACATATATAATCTTAAATATGCCAAAAGAAAAGCATAGTAGACTCTATTTTAAATGATCACAGCATTTTCTGCTATTCAGTGTTCAAATAATTGGAACTCTATTAACTAGTACTTCCATACTTCAAAATAAGTAAAAAGTGATGTCTAGGAAAACCATGACGTATACTAAGATTTTTTTTTTTTTTTTTTTTTTTGAGGAAGATTAGCCCTGAGCTAACTGCTGCCAATCCTCCTCTTTTCACTGAGGAAGACTGGCCCTGAGCTAACATCCGTGCCCATCTTCCTCTACTTTATATGTGGGACGCCTACCATAGCATGGCTTGCCAACCGGTGCCATGTCCGCACCCGGGATCAGAATCAGCGAACCCCGGGCTGCGGAAGCGGAACGCGCGCGCTTAACTGCTGTGCCACCGGGCCGGCCCCCTACACTAAGATTTTGAAGTGACTTCTAAGTTACACACACACAAAAAAGTTAAATTATTCTGAATATGGTTGTATAGTACAATTAACTATAAGCAGCTTTCAACTAAAATATCCTATTTTCTACTTGTGCCAGATAACAATGTGTACTATATTTAGACTATGTATAACCAATAGATAATACAATTACGTGAAAATAAAAAGTTCAATAATCAAAAATTGAGGTCATCCTTAAATTTATTATTTTCCAAAAAGTCTCAAGTCATACTGAGTGATAGTAAAGGCTTTATTTTCAATTTGTCTAAAAATTAGATTTCATATAAGCTTTTCTAAAAGAAACTATAGCTCAGTTAGGATGACAACCTACAAATAAAGCAAAATAGTGTTCCCAGAGAAATCAGGGACTCAACAAGGATATCCATTATCATTATTATTACTTATCATGGTTCTAAAATTTCTGGCCAAGCAACAGAGTTGTGGGAGGGGAGAGAAAAAAATGGAAGACATATCTAGTGAAAAGGAAGAAGGAATACTCTCATTATTACAAACTATATGACAGTGTACCCTGCAAAGCAAGAGAATCAACTGAAACATTCTTAGAATCTTAAAGATTCCAGGTCAGTAGATATAATATAAATACCCCCAAATCAAAACTTTCCTGTTTAACAGCAATAACTAATAAAAAAATAAAATGGAAAAAATTATCCCATCCAAAACAGCAACAAAACTCATAAAAATCTAGTAATAACCATAACAAGAAATTTATGATTCTATATGTAGAAAAATAGGAAACTTTACTGAGATATAGAAAAGAAAAACAAAGAAAAACAAAAAGCATTCTCCTGTATAGGAATATTTGAAATTATAAAGACAACAATTCTTCTCAAATTTAAGTTTAACACAATTCTCCATAAAATTTCAAAGGGATTTTAGAGCTTAAGAAAAAAATAATTCTAAAACTCACTTGAACAGCCATGTGTTAGATCTAATAGGAGGCAAATTTATAATAGAATGAAAAAAAAATCTAGGAATAATCTTAAAAGAAGCAAAATATTAATATTTTTAAAGGCTATGATGCCTATTGTTAGTTGCTTCCCACAAAAGTACAAATTTAAACTACCACCAGTGTTGGTCTCATCGCATCCTCATCAATTAGTATTATTAAGAAGTCTTGTGCTAATTTAATAGATCATTAATTTAATCATTCAGTTTTAGAAATGAAAAAAACTGAGGTAAAGAGAGGGAAATTCCACATCTGAGAATTTACATTAAGAAAATTATCAAAAAGTAGAGAAAGATTTATTTTTAAAAAGATTTTTATGAAGGTGCCACAAGAGTAACCAATTGTAAACAATTAAAATATATTTTTTAAAAGGAAGTTGGTTAAACAAACAATAAGATGAAATACCATATACAGCCATTGCAAATTAAAATATCAAATAAAGTTTTTCAAAATGGGGAACTGCCTAGAGAATACTAAATGGGAAATCAAGAGACAGACCATATATGTGGTCTAACCTCAACTTTATTTAATGTGTGTATTTGTATAAAACTAGCAAGAAAGGTATTAATGTTGATGGTGGTTATCTCCGAGTGGTGGGGTTGCTTATAATTTAAATTTTCTTTATTCTTTCTGTATTTTCCATTTTAACAAATTACATGCATTACATTTATAATAAAATAATTAAAAACAAGAAAAACAAAAATTCACGCAATTTTAAGAAGACTGGGGAACATATTGGGAAGGGAAAACAGTGCAGTGATTAAGAGTTTGGACTCTAGATCAGCTAGACTTGGTTTCAAATTCAGGTTCACTACTTAAGTAATACTGGGTGAATTATTTAGCTCTCTGAAGCTGTTTTCTCAATTGTAAAAATGGGGCTAGTAGTAATTATCTATCTCATAAAGGTGTGAAAACCAAATGAAATACTGTAAACTGCTTAGCTCACAAGTGTCTTGTGTTTAGCAAGTGTTCAATAATTAGTTCACCTCTTAGTGTTCAATATCACTAGTAGTATGCCAACAAAATAAATGCTTCATGAGAGCGTCAAAGCATATTTTATCTATGTTCACACTGCACCCTCTGGTGGTTCTACAAAGAAAAAGCTCTAGGCAGACACCTACCTAAGGTCTCTATTTGTATCTTTTGGCTAGTTTTCTTGTTGTTATTGGATTGGATATATTTTCCCCAGATTTGTATGCCTTCTTTGCATATTAATGAAACTAACCTTTGTCAAATGTTTTCCCCAGTGTATATTTTTCTTTTGACTTGGTTTGTGGTATTTTTATTGCCATGTACAAGTTTAAAATATTTTTGGTAGTCATATTTCTCAATCTTTTCCTTTATGGCTTCTGTGTTTTGCAGGACAACCATTTCTTAAAGAGTTTATACACCTGCTATCTTTTCTAGTCAAGTAAATCACTGGAAGTTACTTTTTATTTTCTATTTCCAAGTCTTCTCTTCAAGGTCACTTAAGATAACCATTTTCTCCTCTTTTAATCCCTTAAGAATATCTTCATGGTCTCACCTCTTCCATTCTCTTTTTTTCCATCCTCTCCTTACCACTTTCTTATCTCAAAAAGCATAACAAGTAAGGTCCAAGGAGTGCTATACATAGAGACCCCAAAGACCTAGAATATGGATTCTCAAACTTAAGTGGTAGAATATCTACAAGTCACAGGACCATGAAGCAATGGTTTACTAAACTTAAAATAATTAAATACACAACTTTGTGTTAAATCAGATAACTCACAGCAAATCATAACAAACCAAATAGTATTCACAAAAGATATAAGAAAAAATTTTTGGAGAAAAACTTAAAATTGAAAAAACTGGGGGCTGGCCTCGTGGCCGAGTGGTTAAGTTCGCACACTCCGCTGTAGGCGGCCCAGTGTTTCCTTGGTTCGAATCCTGGGCGTGGACATGGCACCGCTCATCAAACCACGCTGAGGCGGCATCCCACATGCTACAACTAGAAAGACCCACAAAGAAGAATACACAACTATGTACTGGGGGGCTTTGGGGAGAAAAAGGAAAAAAATAAAATCTTTAAAAAAAAATTGAAAAAACTATATAAGTTAAACCCATTAACTTTTATATCAAAGAAAAACACCCACTATTTGATCACTGTTATTTCAGCAGTAAATACCAGACTTTTGAATAACTAATGCTCCCTACGAATATTTGAAAACTACTGAACTGGAAAATATAGACTTATGACTAGACAATGAATAAGCCTGGAACAAGGGGACTTCTCATAGATTGGCCCTAACAAATGGCAAGTCTTTTTAAATTTAATTCCTTAAACCAAAATAACTACATTACAATTTGGAAAAGAGGAAATCACTTAGATCTTCCAATCCTAATAAAACTACTGCTAATATTTAGTATATTTCCTTATTTAAAAATTCACATATTTTAAAAATAGTGTAACTAATCATAATATACATAATATTCTCTATTCTTTTCTGCAAGGATAGTCTAGCATAGTAGTTAAATGCATGGGCTCTGGAATTAGACCCAGTTCAAAGCCTGCTTCTCTCCACTTAATAAAAGTTTTATGACTTTGGCCAAATTACTTAATCTCTCTAATCATAGATCTCTTTTTCTGTAAAATGGCAATGGTGATAACGATAATATCAATCTCATAAGAAGACTGTGAAAATTAAATGAAGGGCTGGCCCGGTGGTGCTGCAGTTAAGTTTGCACGTTGAGCTTCTCGGCGGCCCGGGGTTCACCAGTTCGGATCCTGGGTGCGGACATGGCACCACTTGGCAAAAGCCATGCCGTGGTAGCCGTCCCACGTGTAAAGTGGAGGAAGATGGGTATGGATGTGAGCTCAGGGTCAGTCTTCCTCAGCAAAAAGAGGAGGGTTGGCAGTAGTTAGCTCAGGGCTAATCTTCCTCAAAAAAAAAAATTAAATGAGATAAACACACAGCACTCAAAGATGTCTACACTGAATTGAATATCAACGAAGTATACAAATTCAATACCTTTTGGATAATTCTTTTTCGTGATCTGTTGCTAGTTTACTGCTTTCTCCAAGGGCCTTTATTTCATTTGGTGTTACTTCATCATGCTGTGGATAGCAAAAGAAATCACATTTTAAAAAATCAGCACACCAATAATTCAATCAATAATGTTTTTTAAAAAGGCAAAAAAGCATTCCAATGTATATATATACCACATCTTCTTTATCTATTCATCTGTGGATGGGCACTTTGGTTGCTTCCATGTCTTAGCTATTGTGAATAATGCTGTGATGAACATAGGGGTGCATGTGTCTTTTCAAATTAGTATTTTCATGTTCTTTGGATAAATATCCAGAAGTGGAAGAGCTGGTCATATGGTATTTCTATTTTTAATTTTTTGAGGAAACTCCATACTGTTTTCCATAACGGCTCCACCAATTTACATTCCCATCAGCAGTGTACAAAGATTCCTTTTTCTCCACATCCTCTCCAGGGGGGAAAGGGATAGGGAGAGGGTGAAAGAGGTAAAGGGCCCACGTGTACAGTGATGGATGGCCACTAGACTTTTGGTGGTGAACACGATGCAGTCTATACAGAAGTCAAAGTATAATGATGTACACCTGAAATTTATATAATGTTATAAACCTATGTGACTTTAATTTTAAAAAAAGCAAAACAGCAAATTGGCAATATATATCAAAAGTCATAAAAACATTCATATACTTAGTGCATTCACTCTAGTTTGGCGGGAAAAACACAATTTTGTACACACACACAAAATTATACTATGTATTTTTAGAGATAAAGAAAGACCAGAACTTTTACAATATCAGCTGTGGTTATACTAGACAGTAAAACTTTGACTGATTTGATTCTCTTTTCAATTTTTGAAATTTGCCCTCATGTGGTCATATTACTTTTTAGTTTTAAAAAAAGGAGGATACTGGGGCTGGCCCCGTGGCTGAGTGGTTAAGTTCACGCGCTCCGCTGCAGGCGGCCCAGTGTTTCATTGGTTCGAATCCTGAGCGCGGACATGGCACTGCTCATCAGACCATGCTGAGGCAGCGTCCCACATGCCACAACTAGAAGAACCCACAACGAAGAATACACAACTATGTACCGGGGGGCTCTGGGGAGAAAAAGGAAAAAATAAAATCTTTAAAAAAAAAAATAAATAAGTAAAAAAAGGAGGATACCAAAAAAATGTTATTAATTTGAATTTTCTTAAAATTCTTGACTTGAAGATTCCTAGGCTTCCTGTGAGCTACAAATCAAAAATACAAAGTAAGCTGAAGAAATTACGTTTCCCCTTCAAAACTAAAGTGGAGTATTTAGCTATGGATTTATGAAAGAACTAAATGTATATTAAGCTTTTCCAAAAGACTATGTGAAAGTGACTCAGATACTGGTGTCTATCACATAATATATTTGCTTAATATGCCATTAAAAGATTTCTGTATTTGGGTCACAAATCCACTCCAAACAATAATAATGTTCCCCAAATTACTTTCCAGATTTACCCTTGTTGTTGCCATTCAATGAAGTTCCTTCTACGTATATAACCGTTGGTTACATTATTATAATTGGCTAATATTCAATATTAATCAATATTTTGAAAGAACTAACAAAATCTTTTATCATATCACCATACAATTTCTAGAGTCAACAGTCAATACAGATATGTTCCACTAATTTTTTAATAGAAAAATCATTGGATTGGGTTGGAGCTGAGAAAATTCGGTTCCTCCTTGCTAATAGCTGGCTATGGGAACTAAGACAGGTCTTCACCCTCTCTTTACCTCAGTTTTCTCATTTCTAAAGCTGAATGCTTAAATTAACGATCTTTAAGGACCTTTTTAGCTCTAAAGTTCCAATATATTCAATAACTATTGTTAAATAATAACTATTCTATCACCACTCATGTCCCTAGAAACAGTGTGACAAGTCAAGGATTAGATATTTTGGTCCTTGGTACAACATAGCCAAAGATACGAAAGGAAATATTATTTTCAGAAGATGATACTTTGGGAAGAAAAAAACAAATTAATGAGAGGAATACAAAATGTATAAGTTAATTCCTTGGCTTTAGACTATTTTAAAGATTTTCTCCCTAACTTTTTATTTTGAAAAATTTCAAATTTACCGAAAAGTTAAAGAATAATACAGTAAGTACTATATAACTTTTGCCTAGATTCACAAAGTCTTAATATTTTTACCACTTATGCATGCCCTCTCTTTCTCACTTTTTATTTTTGCTGGACCATTTAAAAATATTTGCAGATATTATGAGATTTCACTCCTTAATCTTTACCAGGCATTTTCTAAAAAAAATTCTTTTATCTTTATAATACCACTACACACTTAAGAAAATTAACATTAATATCACCTAATATACAGTACATATTTAAATTTTCCTCATTGTTCTCAAAATGTTTTTTTAAATTTTACTCTAAAAACTCAAGGATCCAATCAAGGTTTATACATCACATTTGGTTGTTATGTCTCTTAATCTAGAACAATCTTTCTTTTTGTTTTTTATGACATCATTTAAAAGAGTCTAAGCCAATTAGTTGTTTTTGCTATGTCACATATTCTGGAATTGTCTGAATGTTTACTTATAATTAGATTCAGGTTAAGCATTTTGAACAAGAACACTACATAGATAATATTGTGTACTTTTTATTTTATCACACCAAGTTGTTCTAGTATTGGTGATGCTAAATCTGATCAGTTGGTTAAGGTGATGTCTGCCAGATCTCTCCATTGTAAAGGTACATTCCTTACCCTGGTAATTAGTAAGTAATCTGTGGGGTGATAATTTGAGAACATGGTTTTAATATCTATTATGATCCTTGCCTAAGTCAATTATTTTATGGGGGATGGTAGGAGGGTGATTTTCTATTCTATCATCCTTTCTATATTTATTAGTTGCTATTTTGTAAGGAAAATTTCCCTTATCTCAACTTTTCCTTCCTTCCATCCCTTCTTTCTGCCTTCCTTTCTTCCCACCTTTTTTCCACCCGTCCTTCCTCCTGTTCTTTTTCTTCTTTCTTTGTACTTTTGGAGTATCACTATGGAATCATTGATTCTTTTTAATTCAATGTATTGTAATCCATTACTGTCATTCTTCTTCTTTTTTTTTTTTTTTTTGAGGAAGATTAGCCCTGAGCTAACATCTGCTGCCAAGCCTCCTCTTTTTGCTGAGGAAGACTGGCCCTGAGCTAACATCTGTGCCCATCTTCCTCTACTTTATATGTGGGACGCCTGCCACAGCATGGCTTGTCAAGCGGTGCCATGTCCACACTGGGGATCTGAACTGGCAGACCCTGGCCCACTGAAGGGGAACGTGTGAGCTTAACCACTGCACCACGGGGCCAGCCCCTAATTATTCTTTTTGATGTTCAAATTATCTTAAATTTGGCTATGCATAAAGATTTTGAAGTAAGTTAAAAGCATAGGGAAATTTGAGGCAGGATGGCAAAAGCTGTAAAACAGTTTTCAGTATTGTATACATTTGTTAAGGGGTGTTATTCAAAACATTTAACAAATGGCATAACACAGGAATTAATTAATCAGAATCTTACACCGGTAGTAAAGAACTGGTAAATACTGTGCACCTATTACTCCCTTAATATCACTGACAGAAGCAAATGTTCAAATTTTTTATGTGAATAATTTTATTCATACAAAAATATCTCAGTTTTACTCATGTACTATTGTAAAAACAATGTTGAACTAGACGATGTTCAATAAAAGCATGCCCTTTAAATTCCTTAATCTGGATCATTGGTGTTAACATGTCACAAGTAAACATTTTTAAGATTACATTGCTTTCAAAAATTTTTTAAACTGTGGATTCTAATAAAGTACCTTAATTTACTCTTACCTTTTCTATTAGAAAATGCTGGTCTTGTTCCCAAATAAAACTACCAATTTTTCTTCTTATTTCTGTGGTAAGAAAAACAAATCCAATACTATTTTTTTTAAAGTAACTGTAGAATTTTCTGAGTTTTGCTTGAAGTCTGAAATTTCTAGGCCAGTGTTATTCCACTTGCATCAAAAGCAACTAAAATACTTGTTTAAAATGCAGATTCCTATTGAATCAGATTATTGGGGAGGAGCTCAGGAATTTGCATTGCTAACAAACTCCCCAGATGATTGCAATGCATTATGAGAATCGTTGTAAACTTTTTTCGCTGGAATGTATATCTTCATTAGATGTCAGCGCCTTTAGGCCAAGTTTTACTAAAGAAGACAATTGTTCAGTCAAAATAAAAGGTATAAAATTCCTGAATTTGTAGAGTAGAGGTTCTCAAGAATTTAATAATATACCTTGTAAAAGAAGCATGGAAGAGCAACATGTCTAGTAGGCATGGTCATTCAAGGAATTCTCTAAGGCCCAGCATGTCAAAGGACTATGTCATCATCCTAGCTCAATGATCTCAAAAGTCCCCAGAGTAGCCCATTCAAGGACAAGAAGGTAACATTTCTTTAGACCTATGATGTCCAATATAGTAGCCCCTAGACTAGCTACATGTGGGTACCATATTGAAATGTGTGGCTGGTCCAAATTGAGATGTGCTCCAAGTATAAAATAAGCACTGGATTTCAAAGACTTAGTATCAAAAAAAGAATGTAAAATATTGCAATAATTTTTATGCTGGTCATATACTGAAATAATAATTTATATAAACCTATTCTTAAAATATATTCATTCTTAAAATATATTCTTAAAATTAATTTCACCTATTTCTTTTTATTCTTTTTAATGTGGCTACTAGAAAATTTAAAATTAATATGCAATTAATTAAAATTAATTAAAATTAATTTGTGTCTCACACTTCTAGATAACACTAGTCTAGATGGACAATAATGTACACTTTTCATTTTTAAAAAGGAATATGTTTTCATTTGAAACAGACTTTTTAAAAATTTAAATACATTTTAATGTGAGATACTAAACTCAAAGACAGAATAGGAATGATCACTTGAAATCAGATCAGATAGGAGGCGAGACCGGTGGTTAGTGGTTAAGTTCGAACACTCTGCTTTCGTGGCCCAGAGTTCACCAGCCCATACGCTGGGTGCAGATGTGCAAACTGCTCATCAAGCCATGCTGTGGTGGCGTCCCACATACAAAATATAGAGAAATATTGCCACAGATTTTAGCTCAGCAACAATCTTCTTCAAGCAAAAAGAGGAAGACTGACAACAGATATTAGCTCAGGGCCAGTCTTCCTCACCAAAAAAAAAAAAAAATCAGATCAGACAGTCATTCTACAATATAAGCTCCTTGAAGGTGGATATTCACTGATTGGCACAGTTTTTTAATAAATCAATTCTCCTATGCAGTCATTAATTTATTTGCATAACCATTTAAAACAGTTTACTGTTATAAGTTATAACTAGGTCTGACTAGGACATCAACTATGGAAGGAACCCAATCTTTGGGGTTTCCAAAGTTTTTGTATAGAAATCTTTCTCAAGTTTTTTTTGTTTTTTAAAAAATATCTGCTCACTGGGAACTGTACGAGCTTCAATCTGTCTTTCTAAGGATGGACACATACACATTAAGATATATACATCAAGAACTGGATAATAATGCAAGACCTACAAAAATGGATATTTAAAGTTAGCCCATAAAAAACAGGTAGAATTTGAACAGAACAGGATAAGAAAGGGTGTTTCCAAGCAGCGAAAACGAAAACAACCAATCTCAGAAGCAGTTTATTTACTTGCCCTTTACTTCACAGGGTTACTGAAATAATAAATGTGAAAGTACTTTTAAAAGCATAAAGAACAATACAAATATATGGGTTTATTATCGTAATGAATCTTGTATCAGAAAAAATTTTCGGAAAAATAATGAAGAATTCCAAAACCAGCAAAGAACATTTACTGAATGCTCACATGTCAAACTACTTAATATATTATCTCATTTTACCCTCAAAACGACTTGAAAGAAGTTGCTAAAAGGTCACCAAACTAGTAAGTGTTGGATCCTAGCCAGTGGGCACTGTGAGGGCAAGATCTGCACCTGTGATATTCACCGCTGAATCTGCAGCACCTGGGTTGAAACCTGGCACACAGCAGGAGCTCGGTGAATGCGTGAAGGCAGGATAAACAAATGAAGCTAGAATATACACCTACGACAATCTGTTCCAAAGTCCATGCTTTTCCACTTATATTAAAAGATAAAAAAACAAAAAATCTCTGACTGAGAACAGAGATCAGTAAAGTTGGTGACCTAGCTGGATCTGGCTTTCTAACAGAGCTTGCACGAACCATCTTTGCTAACCTTTTTGCAGGCACGCAGGAGGAAGAATGAAATGACCTAAAGCCACCGAGTTCTTTATTTCAGCGTTAGCGACTGCAGAGAGATAGTAGGCATGAAAAATTGTGGCATTATCTTCTATGTAATCAAGGCTCTGATATATTCTAGGAGAAAGAAAGTAAATATTTTCAGTTATGAAACAAACAGGAATGTATTCAACCTTTCAAAAAGAAAAAAAAGAACAAATGAAGGGAAGTAGAAAGAATTATCTGTGAGGTAATCAGGAGACTGGGGAGTATGGGGACGGGGAGGGGGGCAGCCAGGGTGGTGATTAGACCTCAGCTGTAAATGAAATCGGACAGCAAGGTGAAGGGGGATGGCAGGTGGACAGACTGGAGGCAGAGTAATCTCTCAGAAAGGTCCTGTGACAGCCCTGGCAAGAGGTAATTAGGGTGTGTACTAAGTGGCAGTGACTATGAAGAACATACAGGGGTACAATCCATGGTGTTTGGCAGGGGTTCTATTCAAAAGAAACTACGAGGACGTGAAGTTTGAGAACACACGATCTGGTGCAGGTAGGAGAGGCAATCAGGGGATTGGGTTTAAACACACGTCCACAAGGCGCCACGTGGCGTTGTGGGAGAGACAGCTGGAAACACACGATTGGAACTCAGGAAGAGACTTGAGGACCAGATGGGAGGCCATACCATCATGGCAGAAAGGAGAGGAAAAAGGTTACACCCCCCTCCCCTACCCCCACCCCCCAATCTAGGACTGAAAACTTGCTGGTTTCCAGTCCCTTCCTATCATCAATATTTATTAGTGGACTCCAACTTCCATCTCCAACTCTTGGCTCATGGTGACCCAGCATGCTCTGCAAGGTGGCCTTCGGGTACCTCAGCGTGTCTGGGTGGGAGGCATCACAGCTGAACAGGAAGTCGGCGGCCCTCGGGTCACTGATGGTCCCCCCTTCGGCCACTGTGGAGGCAAGAGCACAGGATGAGACTAGCGAGTACCCTGGGGCCAAGGCACCAGAGGGAGGAGGGGTGCTTCCCTCACCACCTCACCACCTCACCCGCCGCTTCCACCAAGCTTCCTACCCCAGAACTGCCTCAGGGCATGGCTGACGCTGCCGCAGAACCAACCCCGCTGCCCTTGAAACATGGCGCCGCCTTGTACCCATGGACGTGGGGGAGGGGCCATAGCAGAGATCGCTGATTGGTCCCAGGTCTGAAGCCGAGCTCGATGATTGGCTCTCAGGGTAATGGGCGGGAAAAGCCTGAGGCAGGAGGAAGAGGGATCCGGTTACTACCGCACAGAGTGGACCGACTTGTGGGGGAGTGGAGAGGCCTTTTAGTTTTTCCCCCCATACGTCGGAGAAGGGTCAGTCATGCTTGTAAATTTTAAACCCTAAGTATTAACAAAGTTAGTGTGCTGTGTTGTACGGGCATGGGCGCACGTTCTGTAGCATCAAGTATTATTTTGAAGCAAAACTCATTTTATCATTTCATCTATAAGTGTTTCAGTTGGACTCTCTAAAAGATGAGGACTTTTGAAAAAACATAACCACAATACCAGTATCACTCTTAAGAAAATAATAATTTAATACAGTCAAATATTACCAGTGTTCAAATTTCCTGATTTCTCAAAATTATGTTTTTCTTTTACAGTTTCATCTCTGCCCCCTGCCCCACACACACACGAGTTTTGATAAACTATATTTTTCTGCTGTTTGGTCCATTTAATCTAAAATTTCAAAAATATTGATATAAAGCTGTCCATAAAACCTTTTATTATCTTTTTTAATGTCTGCAGGCTCTGTAGCAATGATTCCTTTTTCATTTTTGATACTAGTTATTTATGCCTTCTATTTATTTCTTGGCCTCACCAGAGGTTTTTCCATTTTATTAGCCTTTTCAAAGAACAAACTTCTGGCTTCGTTGATACTCATATATTTCTTTTCTATATTATTAGTTTCTGCTCTTACAATTTCCTTGGTTTTAAATTGTTGTTCTTTTTCTAATTTCTTGAAAGAGATGACTGATTTTCCTCCTTTGTTTTTCTAATATGTGCACATAAGGCTATAAATTTCCTTTAAACTGTGTGCCACAGTTTTTGAGATATTTTTTATTATCGTTCGATTCAAAATATTTTCAGATTTCCAATAGGAGTTATTTGATCCATGGTTATTTAAAATATTTTAAAATTTCCAAGTACATGTGGTTATTTAGTTATCTTGTTGTTAGTGATTTTTGGTTTAAATGCATTACACTCAAAGAATATGGCCTGTGTGACTATAATCCTTTAAAATTTGTTGAAATTTTCCTTCTGACTGAAGTATATGGTCAGTGTCCTGTGTGTGTTTACAAAGAAAGTCCTGAGGCTGTTGGATGTTCTGGGGTGTTGGGTGCAATGTTCTACACGTGGTCACTGGATCAAGTTTGTTAATATTATCTGATTCTTCTATTACTGAAAGAGGGATGTTAAAATCTCCTACTTTGTGTGTGGATTTATCGATTTCTTCTTGTTAATTTTTGCTTTAAATATATTGAAATTATGTTAAGTGCATGACATATGTACTTGTTACTTTCTAGTCAATTGAACTATTAGGCACATAACTATGAAAGGCAAAACTTTAAAATATATGACTACAACAGGAGAATATCTCTCTGGTCTCTGAGTAGAGAAGGATTTTTTTTTTAAGATTTTTATTTTTTTCCTTTTTCTCCCCAAAGCCCCCCAGTACATAGTTGCATATTCTTCGTTGTGGGTCCTTCTAGTTGTGGCATGTGGGACGCTGCCTCAGCGTGGTTTGATGAGCAGTGCCAGGTCCGCGCCCAGGATTCGAACCAACGAAACACTGGGCCGCCTGCGGCAGGGCGCGAACTTAACCACTCGGCCACAGGGCCAGCCACGAGAAGAATTTTTTTAAACAAGACGCAAGTATTAACCAGTAGGAGAAGATATTTGCAGGGCCAATAACCAACAAAGGACTTGGATCCAGAACGTTTAAGTAACCCTATGAATCAGTGAGACAAACAACCCAATAGAAAAATGGTGAACACCTGAATAGGCGTTTCATAGATGAGGAAATTTAAATGGCCAATAAACATGAAAAGATGCTCAGTCACAGTGGTAATTAGGGAAATGCAAACTAAAACTACAGTGAGATACCGTTATGTACCCACCTTACTGGGAAAAATTGAATTGGCAAAGACATAGATTAATGGGAACTCCCACTATTAGCGGGAATGTAAATCAACACAATTGCTTTGACCACCGTTCAGCATTGCTTACTTGAAGACGTGCATATGCTATGTCCCAGCATTTGTTAGACGTATACCCAGATAAACTCTTGCCCCCTTTACCAGTACACATATACAATAATATTTATAACAACGTTGTCGCTAATAGCAACCACAACCACCAAAAAAGAAAAGAAAAAAACTAGAAACAACCACTTATCGATTAACAGTAGTTTGGATATTTAAATTGTATTTTCATACAATGGAATACAACATAATTTTGAATTTTAAAAAAGCTGAGGAAACATACAACATGATTCTATTCATTTAATGTTCAAAAGACAGGCATAATGAAACTGTATTGTTAGGGATGCATACATATATAGTATAGAAAAACCTAAATAGTACATTCGTTGGAAAAACATACCTATGAATTATTTCCCAAAAGGAAAAAGCCAGATACAAAATGTAGAATAGTGATTCCTCAGGACTAAGAGAGGCACACAGGGGCCTTCAAAGATTTTGATACTGTTCTGTTTCCAAAGCTAGATGGTCAATTAATGAGAGTTTGTTTTTTGTTTTATTCTCTAAACTGTACATATACATTACATACACTCTTCTGTGTGTATTTTACAACTTAATGTTTGAAAAATAATCAAGAAACTATGTCAACTTAGGAGGACATACTTTTTATCTAAAGTAGTTAAACAAATATTTGACCTTGAATAAATCATCTTTACTCATCTGAGAAATTAATTTATCAAGAGCATCTGTTTCCCTGGAAATACCTGCTAATCCCGTTTTACTGTCTTTTTCTTCTCCTTTCTCTCAGCTATATTATACAACCGTGCAGTGATCTTACCACTGGTATTCTAAAAGTCCGCTTAGTCAAAGAAACGTGCAAGGCATTCCCCTTTTAAGGTTCTCACCTTAATGAATCCTAGCACGCTGACTGGGGCCTCTTTTACCTTCTACTTCATACAAGGATATTTTTATTACTATCGACCTCATCTCCTGTAGCCTAAGATAAAAACAATATCTAAATAGGCCCAGTCATGCTTCTTAGTGAATATCATTCAGAGTCTATTTCTAGCAGAGAAGTCCCATATTGGTGTTTTATAATTCACACTCATTAGAAGGATTCGTGCCTTTAATTATAATCTGAGTTCTAAGTAGAGGGGTTGTTTGAATTATTCAGTATAGAATAACCAATTATCTGGGAAAATAAATTTGTGTCATCTATGTTAAGGCAAATGCTGGAGAGCTGATGTAGTGCATCAGAGAAAGTATTAAGGTAGACACCTACAGATAGAGGGAAATATGTGTACACCTGTGGTCTGTCCTTGTTCCCCTGGCGATTTGAATATAATATTCATTTTTATCTTTTCCTTTTTTAAAAAACAGCTTTATTGTGATATAAGCTACATCCCATCAAATATACTAATTTATAGTATATTTATATAGCTGCACAACCATCACCACAAAAAAATTCATTTTTAAGAAGTATATTTTCCAAATTCAGATTAGAATTTTTATTCATTCCTACTCATCTTTCACTACTCTGACTTAATCCCAACTTTTCCATGGAATTTTCTCCTCCTATTCTGGTGAATACTGACGTCTCCTTTCTCCGAACTCTGTAGTATTTGTCTGTCCCCAAGGACAGACTTTAGATTTCAGTTATCTAGAACTCTGCATCTGACTTAAGAGATAGCAACTAGGCTCTCTTCCATCACCCAAACTCCTTGTCATGCTACTTGAAATTCTTTACCACAGTGCCTAAAAACCCCACCATTAGAAATATTTACTTAGTGAATATGGAGTGTATATTAGCTAGTAAGTAGTATCATGTCGATGTTAAATTTTCTGAATTTGATGATTTAGCACTGTGATTATGTAAGAGAATATCTTGGTTCTTAGGAGGAACTCACTGAAGTATTTAGGTATAAGAATTATAATGCCTGCAACTTAATCTAAAGTGGTTCATCAAAAATAACATTAGTAATAATTATACACACACACAAAATCATATGCAGTGGATGTGGGGGAGAGAGAATAAGAAAATGTGGCAAATGTTAACAACTGGTGAATCCACATGGAGAGTGTATGGGAGTTTATCATACGAATATGCAATTTTTCTGTAAATTTAAATTAAAAAAAATTTTTTTAAAAGGAAACATGTCCCTTTAGTTCGGTGGCTCTCTGCTCTAGACACACTTTAGAATCATCGGAAAGCATTTAGAAACTACGAATGTCTGGGCCCCACCTCCTAGAGATTTTGATTTAATTGGTCTTGGGTGGGGTCCAAGCATCTGAATTTCTTTTAAATCTCCCGAAATGAACCTTTTGTTCTTTTTTTTTTTTTTTAAGATTTTATTTTTTCCTTTTTCTCCCCAAAGCCCCCCCAGTACATAGTGGTATATTCTTCGTTGTGGGTCCTTCTAGTTGTGGTATGTGGGATGCTGCCTCAGCGTGGTTTGATGAGCAGTGTCATGTCCGCGCCCAGGATTCGAACCAACGAAACACTGGGCCGCCTGCAGCGGAGCGCGCGAACTTAACCACTCGGCCACGGGGCCAGCCCGAACCTTTTGTTCTTTTTATGCTTCTTTTATGTCCTTCAAAACATCTAGCAAGGTTCCAGGCACAAAATAAGTCCTCATTATATTCTGATTGAAGTGAATTCATTAAGAAACAAAAGTAATTTCTTAAGTGTAGCCATAGTCATGTCATGGCTGTTTACCCAAATCAGCAACTATAAATGTATGTGTATCGTATATGCCAACACTACATGAATATTACATGTAGTATGTGTGTATCCTTCCATTATGACAGATAGGATAGGGGGCTTTCACCCTGCCAAAGAGCTGTGCTAATTGTAATTTTAGAGGGTCGGTGCTGCAGGTCCCATATACCTCGCCCACCCCGCCAAAAAAATCCGTCAGATATAGAGAATGAAGTCCAGTTAGGTGGGTCTTCCAAGGAGAGTAAATAGGGACAGTTCATCAAGGGTACTGCTGAGATCAGTGATGGTAAGAACTGTAGACTTGAAAGAAGCAACAAGCTGGAGGATGAGTATATTGGAGAGGACAAGATGAAAAATACTGATATTTAAATTATAGGCAGGAATGATGAAAAGGACATATTCAAAAGTAGATGGAAATACTTAAATGTATTTGAGTGCAGAAAAACAAGTGCCCCCATAGGTAGATAAAGCAAGAAAAAGGGACTGAGAAAGAGTCAGAGATTTGCTGGACTAAAATGTATCTTGAGAGAATTCAAGACAAGATTATAAACTAGCCCAGACCATTTCCTTTTTTTTTTTTCCTTTAAGTCTCTGGAGCAGTTTTTTAAAATTACAACAACAAGTTCCAGAAAAGAAATGTTGCAAAATTTATATTAAAAGATAATTAAATAGGAAAAAAGAGTACACATATGAAAATTCATCTATTAAGAGTCATTATGCTGGAGAATAATGACAGCACAATAGAATTTCTGGGCACATTTGAAAAGGCTTCCTGAGCACCACAAACTCAAGTTGCAGTTTACTCCAGTAACAGTAGCATGATGATCACTCTCATGAGAGTGGCTCCTAGACCCCAGAGAATTAGAATGACATCTTTCTTGAAAGGCTCCAGTGAAATCCACCTAGGACACTGAGAATGGAATTTAATTTGTGAATCCTCTTTTTGTTATTCCAAAGTTCCACATAAATTGGGAAGAGAAACCAGTGAGACTGGTAAACTATTTCAATACCTCTTTAATAACACTCTGAATTTATACAATAGTATGACTAATTACCGTGGATGTAAGATATGCAATGGTTCTTTATTCTCTCCACCATCATTAAGGCAAGGGCAGAAGTAGGGATAAAGTTTCTCCATGAAAGTGCTACTGAAGGTGTAAATGTGGGTCATGGTTTTAGCATTGTAGAAGGACACCTGCCCTCCTTCATAATCCAGGTATATTCCCACCTTGTCGAGGTTGTTAATCAGTTTCACATTGCAAGAAGGCAAATCCAGAGCCTTTAGATCTGTTTCGTTCCTTAGTCTTAAAAGCCAGAATCCTTGCTCAGGAGTTAGAGGACAGCTGCCTTTCCGAATGATGGATTCTCTGACGACTCCAACTGTCCACTTTGTCTTCTTTGCCACTTCTACTTCCCAGTACCACTTTCCAGATGTGAAGCCTTTTGAGCTCAGCACAGCCACACTGGAGTCAAACCTCTCTGGATCATCAGGCATTACCTGCTTAATGTCACCATGCCACACACTGGTTCGGTTTTTGGAGAGCACCAGATTTGGGTGAGCTGTTTTAGGGTCCAGAGTTAGGGGAGATAGTCCTAGTAAGAAAATAAGAGAAAGCAGGGCATGGGATAGAAGGGTGAATACAAATTCCTGTAGTAAAAGACAGTATTTACATAGACACCAGTACTTTATCTCCCCATGCACATACACTGTTAGACAGGTAATAACCTATATGCTTTTTATTGTTTTGGTGTCCATTGGCTATATTCTAGACATTTTTATATTTGTGTTAAAAAATCAGACTTTACTCTGAAGCAATTTATGCTATAATAAAGAAAACAATACAAATGATATAAATCTGTACTAGTCAATATAAGAAAATTCAAATGCTGAAGGGGTAAAGATTAGTTAAGTTTGTCCTAGGAGAGCTTTCTAAGGACAGTAAGTGTTTCAGTTGTGGCATAACATCTGTGAGATGTATTCATGATGCTTTGGGTAAACCGAGGCAAAAAAGGAATAGACTAAAAACAGTAGCTTGTGTGGGAGAGAAAGTAAGGGCTTGCCTGTCAGAGGCAGGTAAGACTGAGCTAACTGGTATAGAGTTTAGACGACAATGGTGAGAAGTTTATATTTGATTTAATAGATAATGGGTCTTTTGAGATCTGGAGTGGTTTATGCCACTGTTCATCAGAATGTAGTCCACAAACTGTGTGTTTACCTGTCTGGGACAAGATAGTACAGAAATTAAGAGTAAGACTTTAGGGGCCGGCCCGTGGCCAAGTGGTTAAGTTCGCGCACTCCACTTTGGTGGCCCGGGGTTTCACCAGTTCAGATCCTGGGCGCAGACATGGCACTGCTTGTCAGGCCACCGCTCATCAGGCCACTGCTCATCAGGCCACTGCTCGTCAGGCCACGTTGAGGCGGCATCCCACATGCCACAGCTAGAAGCACCCACAACTAAAATATACAACTATATGCTGGGAGGATTTGGGGAGAAAAGGTAGGAAAAAAAAAAAAGAAACTTGGCAACAGTTGTTAGCTCCGGTGCCAATCTTTAAAAAAAAAAAATGAGTGAGATCTTAGAAACTTTCATAGCAACCTGGCAGGATAATTTTATGTCGGTTGATTCTAATAATTAAAAAACTGGTTTGCACTTTGTTATCTTTGTTTTTTTTAATTCTACTTTTTCAAGTAGTTAATTTATATTGTATTCTACAAACGTTTCAGTCCATGACAATTGAGATTTTAAAAACTGGGGCTTCATCACAGGTAATTTGATAAGCATTAGTTTAGACAAATCAGTGGGCAGCAGTATAAAAAAGAATTTCTAGATGAAGAGAAGTTGGAAGCATACCAGCAAGGAGATGACACAAATTCTAGGTGTGAGGTAGTTGCACCTTGGCACAAAATTTCATAAAGGAAACATAAAAACTATGTATGTTCACATCATGGACATGGATACATATATGCATACAATTGTTGTTAATGGGTTTATTTATCCTTGGAAGCAAGATCAATCCAATCCAACTCTCTCTTCCCAGGAAAGCCTGAGTCTTTTCCATCATCCCAAGGATTTCTCTTTCCAACAAGAGGCTGAAGAATCCTGAATTTTTCCATATAGGCTGCGTCTTCTCTCCCTCACATATCCCCATCCACTTTGGGTCGTTACTCTTTCCAATGTGAGGACTAGTATTTCTTTGGAGGTATCATAAAGCTTCTTACCAACCTTTTTAGAACCTCAGTGTGCTCTCATCACCAAGCCTCTGACACCTCCAGCTAGCGCAGCCTGCACTGGCTCTGAAGATTCCTAGGAGTCAGCTTTGCATCCCCACTTTTCTTCTCATGCCATATTCAATTCAATAGTAAATTCTGTCAGCTCCACCTTTAAAATATATTCTAAGCCTGCTCAGAATATATGGACAGATAACTTCCGCAAATACCACTGGCCTGGAACTCCTGCAATAGCTTTTTTCTTTTTTCTTTTTTCTTTTGCAATAGCTTTTTAACTGTTCTGTTTCCACTCTTGCCCATCATAACCTATTCTGCCCATAATATGCATGAGATCATCTAGTTCTCCTACTCAACACACTCTTACGCTCCCCATCACACCCAAGGTAAGGACTCCAGAGTCCTTAGAGAGCAAAGACCTGCATGATTTCCCCACCTCTCCGATCTCATCTCCCTACCACACTGGCCCCATTTACTTTAATCCAACCACCTTTGCCTTCTGGCTGTTCCTTGAATCATCAAGCTCATTCATACTTCAGGGCCTTCACACTTTCTTTCCTTGTCCCCAAACTCTCTTTCCCCATGTGGTTCACTCCTTTACATTATTTGGGCATTTGTTCATGCAGGTTCAGTAAAGTGTTAATGATAGAATCTAGGTAGGTATAGGGATGTTCTTTATAAAATTCTTTAAACTTTTCTGTATGTTTGGAAATTTCTACAATAATATGTGTGTGGGGGTGGGTGGTGAGTTACCTCCTCAGAGGTGTTTTCTCTGGCCATTCCATCTAAAATAGCATGTTCATCACTGTTTGTGCTCTTATCCTGTTTTATTTTTTTCATGAATAATTATTTATTGAGTGTACCTTGCTTTATTTTCTCCACAATGTGTGAAATTATGTACTTGTTCATTGTCCATCTTCTTCACTAGAATGTAATCTCTAGGAGGGCAGGAACTTCATCTGTTTTATCTCCTCATATATGTTCAAAATTTAGAACTGTTCCTAGGTGTTCAAGTAACTGTTAAATAAACGAACTTTAAAGTTCCATTTGAAACCTTGACACCAACTAATTCCACCATGCCTCATATTCCTGTTATCCTTAGCCAACGCTCAGAATATAGATCCCTCCAGTGATTTATCCCCTAATGTACTCTTGTCCCCATTATTCTGTTTCTGGCTTCCTCTACCTTCACTCATCCTCCCACTGCTTCCACCCAACCCTTTCCACTCTGCCTTTTGGAACTCCCTCCCTAATTAACTCTCCTGCATCCTCAGTTTACAGAATTCTCTCATAACCTCCCTACTATAACAGAAACCTGTCTGGTTCTTCCCGAAAAAACACAGCTTCCAAAAGTTCATTAGACTATTCATTTTCCAAATTCAGATGCCAGGGATCTAGTAGCCACCATTGCCACTTCCAAATGCCTACTCTACTCCTCATCCTCATGTAACAATTACTCTTCATTTGAGGCTCTTGTCGTTTCATATTTCACATTACCCTCTATCTCAATTTGATGCTATCGTGTACAAACTTCCTGGTTACACTCCTTGCAGTTTGGATTAGCTTTACTCCTCTACCCCAGCTCCAGTCCAATCATCCCAAGTGATTTTACTGTCCTTTGGATATAGCTACTTCTTGCAGGTCCTTGACTTTACTGCTAGTGACTTTTGACTCCATTACATTTCAGCTGTCCATATCAGTGACCATATTTTGGACTTTGTAGTCATCGGGAACTATTTGTTCTCTAAAATCCTAAACTCACATATCCCACTCTCTTATTTTTTGAGCTTTCTTACTCTCATCTCCCCCTACAACCATTACTTGACTTCATTAACTACTCTAGTCTCTGATTTCTCCTTATTATCATAATCTATGTGCTTCCTGGCTTAAAATCCTTCCCTAAACAGCTTCATGTTAGTGGCTTTGTTGCCAATAACCTCAACACTTTTATCTTCTTATCTGCAGCACCTGCCATACAACTCTCCAACCCTGAATCTACCTAGCTATTCAAATTCACAACACAGTTCCTGACCACTGCAGGAGGAAAATCACAAAATTGTACATATGGATACCACTACAAATTCACTATTTCCATCAGCACTGCCCAGAACTCCTGTATTTCCCAAATTGAGTCCTCTCCAGTTTTTCACAACAGCAATTTCAAACCTTCAACTTCTTCCCCAAACTGCTATTCCATCACTTCCTCCCTCCAACTCCCAGGCAGAAGAGTTCATCTCCTGCTTCACAGAGAAACTATAGTACATCTTATAAAATCCCTTGATTCTTCCCACTCATACTGCCAGCTCCATCTGATATAATTGTTTGCCTCTACTGTCTTTATCTCCTCTCCAGTTTCAGAGGGAACAGGAAAGTCAGTACATCTCTCTGCTTTAGGTATCTCTTCCTTACTTCCACCAATTATTCCTTTTGTTTTACTGTTGATTCCTGCCTTACTATAGTCTGCTTCCCTTCAGTATGTTTTTAAAAGTCCTCTTTGACTCTACTCCCACATTCATATCTTCCCATCTTTGTGAAACTTCTCAAATGAGTGGTCTAGTCACTTCACTACTGCCTCATTCCAAATCACTCCTGAACCCTTCACAATATAACTTCTACCCATTCCACTCTTTTGAAATTGCCCTTACCACAGTCATTAATTGTTGTTAATAACATCTCTTTTCCAATCACTTTGTAAATTGATCTTCACATTTAGCATGAATAATCACTCCCTTCTCCTTGATGCTCTCTTTCCTTAGATTCCATGTCAACTTCGTTTCCTGGTTTTCATCTTATTTCTCTTGCTAGAATACTTCAGTCGCTTTTGGGGACTTCATTGTCCTTTATCTGTTGGTGTTCTCTATAAGATGCTCCCTCCTTGGCTGTATGTTCTCACTTTCCTTGGGAAATCTCATTTCTATTAATAGCTTCAGCTACCTCACTCTTTAGTGATTATTCCAGCCCTGGCCTCTCTACTAGGCTCCAGTTAGAATAGTTACCTATTTGAATATATTCACTTAGTTGTCCTGTAGATCCTTCAATACAATATGGCCAACATTGAACTCAACAGCTCCCTCCAGAATCTGCATCTCTTACATTTCCATCCTTGACATCACCTTTCTCTATCCCATACTACAAACTACTGTCCAGTACCTTTCAGCTTCTAGAATTCTGTCTCTGGAGTCTATTCTTTATTTTCCATTCCCATTCCCATGCTTTTGGCTTAGATCTTAATAATTTTTTACCTAGATGGCTACAATAGACTCTAAGTTGGTCTTCTAGCCTCTCCTTCTTTGGAGCAGAAACTACATCTTTTATTTCTATATCCTTGGAGCCCGACTTAGTGCTTAGCATGTAGTAGGCCCTCTAT